GCCCCCTAGGCCCGGCATAACCGCCCGGAATGGCAATCGCGTCGTTCACCAACTGATTTTGCCGAATCCATTCGGCCGTGGCCTGATTTATGTCCGCAAACGATTCTTTGCGACCGCGCACGCGGCAGACCTGCGGGCTCTTATAAGTTGCGAATCGTTCGATCTATTGGCGCACCAATCGGTAACTGGATTTGTCGCCGTTGCGGTTCTGTCGTTACTTTTCTTGGACGTAAAATTATTTTCGACTTAATTCAAGAGAATGTCGAAGAGAGAGTGGATAACGAAATGTAAAAGTGGCGATAACGTGGAGAAGATCATCAAAACGACATGTCAGATAAGCGCTACGTGATCACGCTAAATCATTACCCTCCGGGTAGTAATTTGATACAAGTATTGAAAAAGGTCTAAATAATTTTTCCCTATTTCTATTAAAGTCCTATAAGGATAGGTCTACTTAGGCTCTGCAGAAAGATTTGTAACACAACAAATAATTTTTACAAATTAGCGCTTTTTGTAAATCTGATTAGACTATCTTGGTATCTAACCAGGCCATGACTGAAATGATGAATTGATATATTAGACCCTATATTTTGATATATTTATAATAAATTAAATCCTTTCTCTTATAGCATGTTTATTATATTTTTTTTATATTTTTAAAGCAATTTTTATTACGTTATATTAGCACAATTTATAATTACAATAATATATATATATATATATATATATATATATATATGTATATATATAAATATATATACAAATACATTAATAATAATAATATAATATAATATTATATTTACATATAATATATACAAATAATAATTACAATAACTTATCCAATTTATATATATATATATATGTATAATCGCACAATTTTTTTTATTATATATAATGTTTTTGTATGTGTGTGTAATAATATAGAATATCTTTTTTTTCTCTTTTTCTTTCGCTAATTTATCTATCTATATTTTTATTTAAAGTCACAAAAAATTTTGTAATATTAAAACTCATGCTTATTTTAAATATTTAAAATGTATTATTACTCATCAAAATACTTACCCAAATTATCAATCACTAACTATTAATAAATAATCATTTTTTCATTGAAACCATTTTACGAATTGGCTAATTTGTCTTTGATCTTAATTAATATAAGCCTCGTTTTGGGCATGCACGTCAGTATCAATTCAGGACTCATTCATGAAATTCTGTTCAGAATTTGCCTATTTTGGCTATATTTAAGACTCTATGAAAATACTCTATTCTAGGGCATACCTTACTTCAAAAATTACGCACAATCCTTCTATCTATAAGTATATATATATATATATATATAAATTCTGTATAAATGTGTACTGCTTTGTTTTAGCATATTTTTAGAAGAAAATGAAACAACATAAATATAAAAATCTTACTGCAAACTTTCCATATATTTTAAAATTTCTAATTTTAGTTGTTGAGGTATAACAATGTTCTTTGAGATTTTTGTTAGCAGTACAAACCCACATTCGGTATACAAGCTGTAGAACTTTTGTATTATTTAGGCAAATTATGTACTCCAAGTGGCATCTCGTGATGTCAATTTTGAAATTTTTTATTGTTTTTATCGCATATTGAGCAATGTTCCAATTCAATCTCACATATACTTTCATTGCGTAAAGCAATTTCTAATTTTGTACAACTAATATGATATATACTTTGCAGAAAGAATAATAAAGGATTTTGTTGGTAAAGTTTTCAATGATACTCCTTTAAGTATCAGAAACAAGACTGAGGATATCAAATGTTTGACTTTATGGTAAATTTTGTTAATAATGTTGACTTTTTACAAGCTCTTATTTTTTGCTTTTATGGCACGCGACCATTGAACGAAATAAAATATCTGGTTATATTTTTGCATGAGAAATTTCGTGATTTCGTTTCTGCATTCCGCGAATTTTGTTTTGCATAAACAATTGCGTAAACAATTGCGTAATCATGGACAGAAGAGTCATTCGCAATTTTTTGTATGACTTTCGGAATGCATTCGTCTCGTCCAATGGGACAATTTGTTTTCCAATGATATAATTCCTCCATTGGACAAGACGGATGCGTTCGGAAGCACGCAAAAAATAGCGAGCAAACTTCCTGTTCCACGACACAACTGTACACACTGAAGGTGCCATCTGCCACCAATGCAACGAACCATCTGGACTCTCCTTTAAAGTATCGAACGACGCACTAGTTTATCTATCGAGGAACTCTCTCCGTGGGTGCGCCACGGAGAAATATAGTATAAAGAAATTCATAATAAATTATCTCCGCTAAATGTATTTATTTTTGCTTTAATCTCCTTCAAACTGAAAGGATAATAAATATGTACAGTGCAATTAAGAAACTAATGTCTCTTCGGGCTGTCGTTGCTTCGGATGGAAAAGAAAGTCGCGATGGGGAAGAAATGAAATTATATCGCGCATTGTGAATCGTTTTGCCAGCAGCATTCCTGGAATGATAATAGCGTCATTTCAAGTGTTCGCGTAATTAACGTAGCTAGAAACTTTTGACCTTTAATTACGCAGACCATTGTGCTCGAGGAGTTCTTTCTTCCTCCCAGATGCGACGCGAAAACGCGCTCTCCGTTGAAAAAAACATGTCCTTCACTCCTACGCTTAATAACTCCTGCACTTTCCGCGAATATTTTTGCCGCCTGCGCGTCACGTGGAATTCCCCGGACGAAATAAGTTTCATCGGCGAGAGAGATGTGCCGTGAGCTCGTATGAAAATCTAGCTCGATTCGAGCGCGAGAAAGTCGCGATTTATCGTTTCTCCCTTCCTTCCTCATTCATTCAATTACCACGCATACATCCCGCGGGACGTTAGAATAAATCGAAATCTTCTCAATGGGCGCGCGATTGAATCGCGCTTGTTTGCGTGCGTAAAATTGTGATCGAGACGTCGTTTCGCAGATACGTATGCGGTGCACCGTATGGCACGTGTGGGGAAAAAAGAGATGCGCTCTCACACGCAGGAAGATCGTAGCAGCGAGTCTGCTCGGTACGCGATCATGCTCGGTGTATGATCATGCACCTCCATTGTCTTTCTCTCTACGTTTGGCTGAGAAACGCCCATTCAACGGCTGTTTGTATGGATGAGTCCGTAACGCTTACGCTTCCATGTTATTTCGGTAAATACTACCCATGGCATCCCATTGTCTCGAGCGTCGAATATTTATGTAAAACGAGCTGTTGTCGGGGGGGCAGCATTCTATTACTAGCATAGGTGCAATATATCATATTATCCCGCGCCGTGTTTCTACGTGTCGTATTATTTTATCGATTGCGCGCGCGAAAACTTCGCTTTTATCCACCCAACTCTCGCCCGATTCGAATCCTCTATTCTTGCAACGCGAAGCGTATGTTTGCCGCGATCGCGTTTCGCGAATTAAATTACAACGGGGATGCAATGTGTGTATCGAATAATCAAGCCAAAATTCAAATCAGGATATTTATTTCTCTAACAATAGTTAAATTGTATATTCGTGTACGCGCGTGTAATTGATTGTTTTTCATCGAAGAGAAAAACTACGCATAGTTTTTAAATTATCAGCAGCAAACAATAGGGCGTCAATCCGATCGGTTACTACCGCTCGGTAAGACAGCCCGCTATTTAAGTCCCTTAAAGAGACCCACTGGATAAGTGACTGGAGAAACCTACATTCAGGTCTCTAGATGTGGAAAGGACGGGCCGTATTTTCGAAACTACCTGCATTATGGTCGAACACATGTCGCCAATGTGTTTCGTGAAAGTATCGCAAGGATAGGGGAGGAGGAAAAAATAAAGAAGGTTCAGAAGGGACTATGCGTGCTAAAGTTTTATTTTATTCTTTTTCTGAAAATTATACCTCTCGTCCTTTATCGCGGTAATCCACTTTAAATGGTCGTGCAGGCATAGCTAGTTGGCTGCAATTCGCTTTCGCTCCAACGCAAAACAGAATCTCGGAAAATTGAATGCTTTTAGTAGATAACTATAAGCTTGTTATAGTTCTACATATTTTAAGTAAATTTTTTAGCGACAAGTGAAGTTAAAAACGGTGCTAGATTTTTATCTGAGCAATTTCGACAAGATTATTCGAGACAATTGTCTAATATATATATATATATGTATATACATACACAACACACACACACACATATATATATATATATAATATTGTATATATATATATATATAT